CCCCACTTGGGAGGGGAGGTGACCAGCTCATCACTTTATTTGGCCCTATCACAGTGCTAGCCTCTTATCTAGTTTGTGTGTGTGTTTTAATGGTACTACAAGATTATCATCCTTCCCTCAAGTGTCACCTTCCAAGAGATCCCAGGCAGCCCCTCACCCTGGGGGGGGGCAAGGGCACCAGAGCCCAATCCACCACACAGAGGATCGAGTCCAAAGGCACTCACCACGCAGTGGGTCATGACCAAGCAGAGGCAGGAGCACCAGGCGGAGAAACAAGGAGGCGGAACAAAGGCACTGAGAGGCCAGCAGAGGCGAGTGCGAGGGGCAAGGCAGGAACAGATGCAGGAATACGGGAACACAGGGACTCAGGAGCAGCAAGGCAGGCAGCGCAGCCTGCACAACACAGCGGACAACCTTGGTTGCTGAGGCCAGTTCTGGGAGGGAGAACCGCTCCTTAAATAGCCCTTCCCTCCAGGTTTCCAGGTGAGCCTCATGAGTCTCATCCTGCAAACACCTGGCCCTTCCTGCAGCTGCCAGGGTGGTAGGGCCCAGATCCTGACATCAAGCAACATCTTGCATTTTTCCTGTGGGAAGGGAGCTGTTAGTAGCTTTGCTGTCTGCAAGGCTTCTGAATCTTTTTCTCAGCCAGGTTGCTCTGGAGGTGTATGAGAGAGAAGGCAGCCCCTCAACCAGCCCCACGGCTGGCCCGGCCCCTTAGGAAGGCTCCTTGTAAGCTTGGGTGAAAGAAGCACACCGGAGGGGAAGTTATCATCAATTCTTAACATTTTATTTCTTTACTGGGTTAAACAAGGAGCAGAGAAAACCCCGATCCAAAATACAACAGAACTGAAAGCGTTACAGGTACAGAGACTATTGAAAACACAGAGAGTAGGATAATAGTTTAATACAACTGAATTATAGCGTGGTTTTGTTTGTTGGTCGTTGGTGTTTCTCCTCCTCCCGCCCCCAAACCATTTTGGAAAATAAATGTAATAGGAACTAGTGCAAAAAAGTTCTAAACATGAAGCACAGTGTATAAAATGGCATAAGAAAACTGTCCCTCCCCCCTGCGGCTTAGGACACACTCACTTCCTCTGCTCCGAGGAGCGCGGAGGAGTTGAGAGAGGAAACAGAAGGGAGGGGGACGGAGAAAAAAGGGCGAGGAAGCCGGCAAGGGAGAGAAACAGGGTCTCCAAGCTTGACTTCAGCTCTCGGTCTTTCGGGTTTCCCATCTCACCGGAACAGTTCGGAGCTCGGCAGCCGCCGCTCCCCTGCAACCCCCGCCGGGGCGAGGCACCTGCGCCGGAGAAGGGCTCCGCCTGTCCGTGGCCCTCCTGAACCAGATCCGCACCCCGCCGCCGCCGCCGCCGCCCGGCCGCCCCCTTCTCCGCAGGTCTCTTCAGAGGGATCCATCGTTCAAAATCATGCAGAGGGGATAGAAGGCTCCTGCATCTGGATTTCCTGAGAAAGGATGTAATTTTTATTTTGTAATACTGGGAAGCAAGGAGGAGGAAGAGAAATAATAATCAGTTTAGAGAACAAGCTTATAGAATCCTAGAATAACGGAGTTAGACAGGGCCAGTAAGGTCATCGAATCCAACCCCCTGCTCATGTAACATTCTGCACCCTTCTATGCAGGGCAGCAGGGCAGGGAATGCATTCCATACATGGCAACCGACGCGTTTCCAAGTCCTATGCCAGGGATTTGTTAAGAAGTCACCGCGAGGCCCGGCGTGTGTGTGTGTGTTGATTTTTATGGGGAGGAGGGTGCACGTGCACGTTGGACTGGGCTAAGTCTGCTTCTCTCCCTTGCTGTCCTGATAAGAATGGTCTGCCAGCCGCCATCACGGACACCGCTTCTCTCTCTCTCACACACTCTCTCTCTCTCTCTCTCACACACACACACACACAGACAGAGCGAGGGCTTTGGAAAAACTAGACGCAGCGCCGTAGGGAAACCCAGCCTGGATTGGGGCCCAGGGAGCTGGTCTCTTTCCCCGGAAGGTGCGTGGCCCCGCAGCTCTCGGCGGATCGGGCTAGAAGAGGAACGGAGCCCCCCCCCGCCTCCCCAGGGCCCGAACCAGCCTTGAAAGGCACTCACTTTCGCCTTCAGAAGGCGGGGGCGGGGAGAAGGACTCTCAAGCAAAGAGCATCAGCCGCACAACAAGGCTGGGAAGGGCGCGGCAGCGCCGGGGTCGGTTTGGCCAAGGCGGCCCCACAGGAAGGGCCGCCCGCGAGTGAGCAAGCAAAGAAGGAAGGAAGGAAGGAAGGGGCGGTCGACCTCCTTTCTGCCCTGTGCGAAGCTGATCAGGAGCGCACACACCCCTTTCCACCGATCCTATTTAAATGTAAACCCAACCTAACCAATCCAGGTACGATAAAGACAGACAGC